CACACACACACACACACACACACACACACACACACACACACACACACTTAATGCAATCCAATACAATAGTAAAATATACTTCTGTTGTATAATGTTCAATTCCTACTGAGACGGTAGAGGTGGTAAATCTATTCTATGGTCCTTTCAGAAGCTAATTTTGTTTTGTCAAAACAATCTATATTCTGTCTCTTAACACAATTCATTCTTTAGAGTTAGAGAAAGCAGCGCGTGATTTAACCGTTGCATTTACAGCCAAACATTACAGGGGCCACACAATGTCACGATGAGGAGCTTGAAAAGTCTGATCACGGTTGTGATCGCACCCTTAGTCTTAGGCTAGGAGGCACATGTCAATCTATTTAAAACAAATTAAGTAGTTTGAATGGTTTTAGGAATGCATCTAAGATTACGAAGGTTTTAGGCTCATTTTAGACAGAGAGGAAGCGCTCAGAAAATATTATTATGGTCAAAAGAAATATTTATTTTCCATAGAATATAATTGTTTTGATATCAGGGGTCAGCGGACTGTTCAGGGGGAATAGTTTTGTAATCTTGAAGCTAAAACTGCAATTACCACAGGAGAGAGTGTGAGAACAACAGAGAGGGACTGAGGGGGGAGGCAGAGGTGAGAGAAGAGGAGGAATGACGACGTGGTTCTACAGTCCAGTCATTACTGAGGGCCCACGGTGGCCCTCTGGGTACAAGCCCAGCAGCTGTGACAGCGGTGGGCTGCCTTTCATGTCCCTGACCCTGAACCAAGGGCTTGTTAAAACCTGGGATGAGAGAAAGTGTTTGGCTAATCAATAAGTGAAGGGAGAGGGGGGGGGGGAAAGAGAAAGGAGAGCAACAAAAAAGAAAGAGTATGACGCAGGTAAAATAGATAAAGTAGAAGGAGGAGAGAAGCTGAAGCACAAGATCAATGGAGAACTGTGAGCAGGAGAGAGGACGGTGGGGGGTAAAATAATCAGTTCATGTACTCTTTGAGCTTAATCCTCATCAGACACACCGGTAGGCGATAGTTCCATCAAGTCAGTGATTTGTGTTTCAATTACAAATCACCCATTTTTATGCTGAATACGATGTATTTCATTCCCTCAATTTAGTCATTAGTTATCTCAAA